TGAATCAATCTGACTGGATGATATGGTTGATGTAGATCTATAAAGCGACCTGAGAGGACGTGATGTGAATTGGAGCTATAGAAATAAACTGAATAGAATAGAACACCATAATGAGGTCAGTCTCTGAGCTGTGGTGAGGAAGGAGGCCTGTAGTTCTGCAGTTTATCTAAGCTGCTTTGATCGTTTCTGTTTTTAGGGTCTGATTATTAATTCAGTTAATAATAATAACTGAACTTTATTGATCCCAAACTGGAGAAATTCCCTCTCTACATTAACCCCTCCCCTCGGGGAGCAGAGGGCTGCCATCGCTGGGCACCCGGAGAGCACTGTGGGTTAAGGGTCTTGCTCAGGGACCCACAGTGGCAGTCTGAATTGAACTCAGAACCTCTGGATTCATAGCTCTATGCTGTAACCACTAGGCCACTGCTCCCTCCATCAGATGTTCTGACAGGCGGAGCTTTGGGGAAGGCTGAGGGTAAATCATGGAGCCCGACTTGGTGCTGGACTAGAAATGGATGCCAGAACCTCCCCTCTGACCTTTGTGGGTCGAGTGGAGATCCAAAGGTTTCAGTCGGAGGGATCCTTCTGCTCCAGAATCTGGGTTCTGATCTGGTTGCTCCTGATTAGCTGTGTAGGTCTGATCCTCTACTGTGGATAATCTCCCCTCCTCCCCTTCAGCACACCTCCTCTCACAGGTGGCTCCATGAGGCTCCGCCCCCTGATCCTGCTCTCTGGAGCTCCTGCATCCTCACACACACACACCCACACACACCGCTCCACCCGGTCCCTTCAGGAATGCTGCGCCCGCTGGCTGCTGGTTCCGTCTTCTTCCCAGGACTCTTCCTGGTGTCCAAAGGATTCCTGAAGCGGCTGCTGGGATGGAGCGAGGAAGAAGCCGTGCTTCTGTCCACACGGTAACACACACACACACACTGAGCTGCTTCTGTCCACTCTGTAACACACACACACACACACTGAGCTGCTTCTGTCCACACGGTAACACACACACACACTCAGCTGCCTTTTCCTGACATGTGGGGACATTTCATTGCCTTGCATTTGTTTTATACGGCCTAACCAGGACCCTAACCAGGACCGTTTCTGGTGTTTGACAATAAAACGGTCCGATGTTCCATGCTGTGGTTTACAGAGTTAGAAGGTGAGAACCTTCCACTGTGGGGGGAGAACCTGTAGTGGCGCCGCCCATCGTTCCCATCGGGTCAGAACCACTGGGACCAGTTTAACACCACAGTTTGACTCCTCTGCTGCAGACACAGACCTCTGAGACATCATGAGGTCTGTCTAACTGGGAACTCTGGTTCTGGGTTTTGCTGGGACCCAAAGGGGACCCGGTTCTGAAGGGCTTCTTTAGATCCACCTGAGAACTCTTTAGAAGGTTCTCCTGGGTTCTGGGTGGAGGTCCAGGTAGGATGGATGGTTTTCTGTTGGAGAGGAAACCATCTCCATGGCTACAGCACCAGCAACCAATCAGAGGATGAGAGACTGAACCCAGATGGACCAATCAGAGGGCTCCTCAGAAACATCCAACGCTTTAAGTTCTGATCAGATGAAGCAGATTAAATATGGATAAACCACAGGAAACAAAACAATAACTGAACATTTGAATTCCTGCCATAAAGAGATGAACTGAGCTGAGCTCCCAGTCTAACCAGTCTGTCCCTGTCCTCCCAGTCTGGTGTCGTCTCTGCAGGCTGTCATGGCCTCGTCGGCTGGTTGGATCATCGCTTCGTCCTGCAGGGACATCATGGAGGACAGGTAAGGATGCTGCACTGTAATCTAATTACCAACCTAGGATTAATCTGAGCTGCAGCTGCTGGCAGTAATCCTCCTCGCTGAGCATGCTGGGAAACGGCTCTGATTTCCCAGTCAAAGTGGAGCACTGGTTCCAGTCATATTTGTTTATCAAATGAGCCGCAGAGCTGCAAGGGATTCGGGGAGATTTTAGGTCCCTGCAGGAGATCAGAGCTTCAGAGGATTGAATCCAGTTCCAAGATTTAAAAGCTGAAGGTTCCGCCCGGTTCCAGCGGGCCGGACCAGGACTTGGAGGGGCCTCAGTCTGGATCCCAGTTCCTGTCCCAAATCCAGAACCAGGGAGGGACCAGTTCCAGAACCAGGGAGGGACCAGTTCTTGTCCCGAGTCCAGAACCAGGGAGGGACCAGTTCCAGAACCAGGGAGGGACCAGTTCTTGTCCCGAGTCCAGAACCAGGGAGGGACCAGTTCCAGAACCAGGGAGGGACCAGTTCCTGTCCCAAGTCCAGAACCAGGGAGGGACCAGTTCCTGTCCTGAGTCCAGAATCAGGGAGGGACCAGTTCCAGGCTGGATGGGATGGAGGGTCTGAGCAGGAAACTGGAGGTTTGTCTCCTTGGTTCTAGTAGATCTCAAACATCTGCTGCGTCTCCTCCTCAGACACTGGCTCACAGAGTCCTACATCCTGTTCGCCACGCCCTACTTCGCCTACGACATCTTCGCCATGTTCCTGTGCTACTGGTACAAGCTGCAGGTCAAAGGTCACCAGGAGGCGGTGCCAAACAGCAACTCGCTGCGGGCGGCGCTGTGGGGTTTCATGCGCAGGGAGGTGCTGATGGTTCTGCATCACGTCTTCATGGTTGCCTTCTGCTGCCCTGCTTCTCTGGTAACTTTGGCAACGCAGTATCTGAGAGGGAGGGGTTGCTCCTCCGGCAACACCATCACAACTAACAATGGACCCAGCTGAGTCCAGAACCAGTCCACCAGGTCTTACTCTGGACCAGGTCTCTCAGAAAGATTAAAAACCAGTTTAAACCTGTTTCAAGTTAAAACAGGAACAGAACCTCAGTCCAAAATGTCTCCAACATCCAGTCAGAACCGGCCGAAAACCCGGTCAGAACCGTCCGAAAACCAAACCTGGTCAGAACCGGCCAAAAACCGAAACCCAGTCAGAACCGGCCGAAAACCTGGTCAGAACCGGCCGAAAACCCAGTCAGAACCGGCCGAAAACCCGGTCAGAACGGGCCGAAAACCCAGTCAGGACCGGCCGAAAACCCAGTCAGGACCGGCCGAAAACCCGGTCAGAACCGTCCGAAAACCCAGTCAGAACCGGCTGAAAACCCGGTCAGAACCACCCGAAAACCAAACCCGTTCAGAACCGGCCGAAAACCAAACCCGGTCAGAATCGGCTGAAAACCAAACCCAGCCAGAACCGGCCGGAAACCAAACCCAGTCAGAACCGGCCGAAAACCATACCTAGTCAGAACCGGCTGAAAACCAAACCCAGCCAGAACCGGCAGAAAACCATACCTAGTCAGAACCGGCCGAAAACCAAACCCGGCCAGAACCAGCCGGAAACCCAGTCAGAACCGTCCGAAAACCAAACCTAGTCAGAACCGGCCGAAAACCCAGTCAGAACCGGCCGAAAACCTAGTCAGAACCGGCCGAAAACCAAACCTGGTCAGAAGAGGCCGAAAACCAAACCCGGTCAGAACCGGCCGAAAACCAAACCCGGCCAGAACCGGCTGATAACCAAACCCGGTCAGAACCGGCCGAAAACCCGGCCAGAACAGGCCGAAAACCAAACCTGGTCAGAACCGGCCGAAAACCAAACCCGGTCAGAACTGGCCGAAAACCAAACCCGGTCAGAACCGGCCGAAAACCAAACCCGGCCAGAACCGGCTGATAACCAAACCCGGTCAGAACCGGCCAAAAACCCGGCCAGAACCGGCCGAAAACCAAACCCAGTCAGAACCGGCCGAAAACCCGTTCAGAACCAGCCGAAAACCCGGTCAGTCCCATTCTTTCATTAAACCAGAACCAAAAATGTCCAAAGCACAGTTCAGGTCCAAACCGGTTAAATGTTCTGGTTGATCCATCCCTACAGAGTTTGAAGTTCAGAACCGGTCCATTTGATCAGAACCTGTGGGAACCTAACCAGCTTCAAACCCAACTAGAACCACTTAAACTGGAAACCAGGTCCAGAACAGGTCCAAGCAGAACCAGGAAACCAGTTTAACTCGGTTCAGATACGAGTCAACAAAGACAATCGGATCTGAACCCAGAAATGAATCAAAGTCCTGCTGTGAAAGCGGTTCTGCTTCTGGAGCTCAGTTCCCAAACTGATCCCGACCCAGAACCGGTGGAGAACAGAGGTTCTGCTAACCTGGGCCCCTCCGGGTCCCAGTCCCAGTTAGTGACCCCTCAGAACCTGTAGCTGATAGAGGCGGGGATGTTGTTACATTTCCAGCCTGCAGGTGGCGCCATCTGAACGTCCTGCACATTAAACAGCTCATTAATTTCCTTTGGTTCTGATTCTTTTTACATCCATTTATTAAGTTCAATGAAGAGATGTTCTGCTTCTAGAGAAGGTCCAGTAAAGGTCCGATCTGCTGAGTCTAATCCAATTCTTCTTCTCTCCTCCAGCTGTGGCGCCGGGGTAAAGGGGATTACTTCCAGGGAGTCCTGTTCCTGGCTGAACTCAGCACGCCCTCCGTCTGTCTGGGAAAAGTTCTGATCCAGGTAATCTGTCAGGGTTCTGGATCTGATCCAGAGCCGTCCTAGAAGGTGGATGAGGGTCTGAGTAATCCAGATTGCTTTAACTGGTCCTGCGTCAGATCTGGGTTTGAAACCGGTTTAACCAGAACCAGAGAGAAAATGTTCCCGACTGAGACCAGAACTTTTCTGAATTCAGATTTTCTGCAGCTGCAAAGAAAAAGGATCAGAATTTGTCTTCCGACTTTCAGGAGACCCGTTTTTCCAGAACCTTCCTGTTCCTCCACCTCTTAGGTCTGGTTTCCATTGTTGTGGTTAAGCTGGTTCCGTCCAGTTCTGACTGTTGGTTCTTGTGTCTCATCAGTACCAGAAGCAGAACTCGGTGCTGCACAAAGTGAACGGAGTCTTCATGCTGCTCAGCTTCTTCAGCTGCAGGGTGCTGCTCTTCCCGTACCTCTACTTGGCCTACAGCAGGTAAACATCACAGCCAGGATCCATTACTGCTCCAGCATCTCCCCCAGATTCCACATCCTCCCCCAGATTCCACATCCTCCCCCAGATTCCACATCCTCCCCCAGATTCCACATCCTCCCCCAGATTCCACATCCTCCTCCAGATTCCTCATCCTCCCCCAGATTCCACATCCTCCCCCAGATTCCACATCCTGCGTCAGATTCCACATCCTCCCCCAGATTCCTCATCCTGCGTCAGATTCC